CACCCACCCTCACCAACAGAGCCTGCCTTACACTGTCCTGTTCAGGCCTGGCTCCAACACTAGTTGTAGAGGTACTCGAGGCCTAGGACCCCCAGCTTAGGGCCTGCCCAGGAGGGTATGGCAGGGAGGAAGAGAGGTCCGTTGGTGTTTGCTGAATGAAAAAGTGAATGAACCCTTCCAGGGCAAATGTATTAGCCAGGAGTGGTAATTGCATCAGGCTCTTGCATATCCCAGGTCCTCTTGTGGCTTATTTTTAGTGCCCAAATCTGTGCTGATCCCAGGCACAGCCCCAGCGACATCCTAAGCATGCCTGCAGCTGCCCCTCGTTTCTGAACAGCAAACACCCCACCCCCTCCAGCCCTCTGAGGAGCTGTTCTCACTCCATCCTACTGCTCGGGGCTTGACCATGGAGACAGGCTCTAAACAGACATTGCAACATAGTGGATGAAGACTATGAAGGGGCCGAAGAGCCCAGGGGAGGCAACTGACCCCACCCGAGGGTCAAGGGACTTCCTAGGGATGATTTCCTAGCCGAGTCTTGAGAGGCAAATGGAAGTTAGTCGAGCAGAGGGGAAAGGAGGGAGGACGGGAACATGTGACGCTGGGAGACCATCTTGCCTTGTGGTAGCATGGATGGTGCAGTGGGAGTGGGGAGGCCAGTGAGAGGGAGGCTGACCTGGTCTTCCAGGCAGATGGAATAGGCCCTGAACCAGGGCAGCCGAAGGAAGTTAGAGAGAGAGAGGTGGATTCCAGAAATATTCAGGTGGCCGGAGGAATTGGGGACTTCTTGGATGTGGGAGATGAGGCAGAAGAGGCTATACCTGGGTTTCTGATGTGGGGATGCATATAAATGCAAAATGAGGCCCTTTATGTTCTGAGAGTGATTATATCACCCCAACTTACTTCAGAGCAGATCCCCAGGAAAGGAGGTGCTGGGGACATCATCTTAGCAGCTGGATGAGTCCACTAGAATGTCAACCAATTGTTAATATTTTACAAAGATGGAAGCCTACGCTGGTCAGCCCGAACAACTGTGGGTGTTCTACCCAAGGCTGTGGTGGCAAGCGTGCCAGAGTATCACAGAATATACACAGAGAGGAGTGGCAGAGCTGGTCATCGCCCAGCACAGGTACTGTCACACTGAGCCTAGGGCAGCTGTGCCAGGTGTTCTGCCCCAGAGTCACACTTAGGGTCATCGGCCAGATGCCAGCCCTGCTCAGGCCAGCTCATGACAGCCCTGAGCAGAGTGCGTATTGACAGCCATGTTGCGAAGAATCTTTTATCAGATGGCATTTAAAAATTTCCCCTGGACTGTATTTGGGGAAGTGCCTCCAAATTCATTGGCCTGTAACATAATGGTACAGTGGTTAAAAACAAGTTCATTGTTAAAGAAGAAAAAAACAGCAGTGATTGTGGGGGCGATGACTCAAAGATGACTCATCAGACCTGAAATTAAAGGAATCAGAATGACAGCAGATGGAAAACAGGCAGCCGGGCACCAACTCTCCTCTCTGATATCCTGTGTTTACTTTATTCCTTGGGACCTCTGAACTGTCTATTTCTCTCCATCATCTCTGCAAAACCCAGGTCAGCTACTTGCTGGGAGGTCAGCAGTTGCTCCCTTGCTGGTCTCCCCACACCAACGTCCTTGCTCCCTACCCCTATCTTCCTCCCAGAAGGACCAGATTATAAACCTAGTGGTGTCACATCATTGGCCACAACTCTCTAGAGACTTCCTGTTGCACGAACAGAATCTGGACTCATCATTTCAATCATGAGGCCCCACAACCCATCCCTTATCCCCTGTATTCCAGCCACATAGGCCACGGGGCCTTTGCATTTGCTTTCCCTGCGATGTCTGCCCTTCTCCACTTTGCTCCTCTTTCTCTAGATCATTCCTCAGCAACAGTGTCACTTCTGAGAAGCCCTTCCTGACTCCTCGGCTCTCTTGGATCCATGTTCTTTTTCTTCTCAGCACATTTTCTATTTTGTAATTAGATATTCAAAATGGTGAGCTTTTGCTCTTCCCATAAGAGGCCTGAGGTAACTTCTGAAAATGGTTTGCTATTCACTTGACCCAGAAAAACCCACAAAATCATGCAAATCAAGAGTTTCAGATCTTCGTGTTCACTTTAAGAACATTCGTGAAACTGCCCATGCCATCGAGGGAATGCATATCCAAAGAGCCACCAAGTATCTGAAGGATGTCACTTTACAGAAGCAATGTGTGTTATTCCATTGTCACAATGATGGAGCTGGTAGGTGTGCCCAGGCCAACCATCTAAGTGGGGACAACCATCAAAGAGATGCAGTCTTCTTAGGGGGCCCAGGACACTTCCCCTCACCCCAGTGTATTCTCAGCTGCAAACAGCAGGAACCAACCTTGGAGAGTTAAGTGGGAAAAAAACATTCTGGAGGAGATTGGGGAGCATCTGGAGGCTCTGAGAGCCGGGTCTGGAGCCACACCAGCAATCCTGGCACAAGACAGCTGCGATCCCTGGTCCCACCATGGGAGCTTCTGACCCAGTCACCTCTGGAAGCTGGGCATATAGCCACTGCCCTGGCCAGAATGGACTGGCCATGGCACCTACCTACTTCCTTGTCTGATGTGGGTGCATGATTAGTGGGCACCCTGACTGCTTTGGCTGCTGCAGTGGGAAGTGGGCCATGCACTAGGGTGCTTGGTATGGGTGAGGGGCCGAGTCAACCTGGAGAAGGGGATGCCTTTTTGTGATTCTCGCAGAGCTATCATATGGCTCGCACTGGCTCTGGGGACAGGAAAACAATATTCCAGACATAAGGAGGGAGTGGCAGGACCTGGGTAGTCAGAAAGAATGGCAGTCATCTCCTCCCCCGGGAGCATGGGGAGCTTTATGCCAGCTTTATGCTCATGTGAGCACATTCCACTATAATGAGAGAATTTCATCAAATTCTGGGAGTTCTTCAGAGCCTCTTGGAATTTGTGACTATCTGCCCCAGGGCCAGTGTGAGGGAGATGGAGAGTTTCTCTAGGGATCAGCCCGTGGACATGTCACACACCCCAACCTGCAGTCCTCAGTGTTCGCGTCTGTTTAGTGGGGGCAGTAATTATCGGCACCCAGGGCTGCTATGAGTGGCTGCAAGAGCCGGGGTTGGAAGGTCTGACATATAGATACTCAATGAGTTTTCGTATTTTCCTTTGAGATATTTTTTGTTAGAGCTGTCACTCTGACCATTTGTTGCTGCCACCTCAGAGCCCCAGCTGTAACCCTGAGCAGCGGGGCCCTGACAGCCCAGCCCATTGCCCCCTTGGGCTCCTGGAGCCATCTCCTATCCTTTGTGGGGCTTTTGGGGCTTGTGGCAGAAGAGTAGACTGCACCTTCTTGGGAGGGGCCAGCATGAAACAGGAGCGGAGGGACACAGCCACACTTCACTGCTACTCTGCAGCCTGCCCTCCCCACCCCGCTCCCCAGAGGTAGGAGAGAGTGAAGAGTGGAGTGGGCTGGGAGGGAGGGGACAGTTTCCAGGCACCCACTACAGGGCAGGACAACAGCCTAGAGACCCAGCCCAGAGACCCCACAGGTTATACAGAGGTTCACATCCAGTCCTTGTCCTCAGAGGGTGTCCCGTTCACCAGGGAGGCACACTCATTGTTATAGACCAAGTAGTGTTCTTCAAAATTCATATGTTGAAGCCCTAACCCCTAGTGCCTCAGGATGTGACGGCATTTAGAGACAGAGCCTTTAAAGAGGTAATTGAGTAAATTTAGACCTTTAGGGTGGGCCCTAATCCAATAACCAAATCTCTTATAAAAAGAGATTAGGCAGAGACACCAGAGGTGCACACACAGAGGAAAGGCCATGTGGGGAGGCAGCAAGAGGGTGGCTACCTGCGAGCCAAGGACAGAAACCTCAGGAGAAACCAACCATGCACCAACACCTTGATCTTATACTTCTAGGCTCCAGAACTGAGAGA